AATATACCTCCTCTTCCAAATGCTCTTTTTGGTTTAGCAAAGTATTTGTCTTACCCCCCTTGGGTAAAAACACTCGACCCATTTTACCTCGAGCATAAAGTAGTCCCTGTAAAGAATCGAGTTACTTACGCGAAATGTTCCCTGTACGATTTTCCTCGAAGAAGATGGTGGCCACTATGTTGGGTCGATAACACAAATCCCCCCTAGTAAATGACTATAACCAAGGAAAATTCTCGAATTCTTCATTGTACTTATCTCATCTTTTCTATGCTGTGTTATACAACTGCCATTTCCCAGTGTGTCCTACAACACAATGAACAAAATCCCGATTGGGAGAGTGATGATAATGATGATGCCAAGGGATCATCATTACAAGGTCGAAAAAGGAAGACAGCTGCTGACAAGGTTTCTCTACGTTTTAAGGTACAATTCTTTTCGAATTTGCCCTTTAATCGGACTTCTAGCATTTATTTCACTACCTTTTCTGGTTCTTACATTGCAGAGTATTGAAACCTCAAAAAAACAAAAGGTACAAAAGGTTGACTCGGGCAGCACCAAGACTATAAGTACATTACTTTGCCTTTATATTTTTCGTTACTCTTTATTTCGAGTCTTAAAAAGAATGTGTCTTCCAATTTCAGGTCTCGACCACGAAAAAAAAGGATAAAGGCAAGGGAAAGTTAGTAATTCCGCTTTCCAAGAAACCTCAGAAGCCCTCTGGTGAGAAACTTCTTCAAGATGCAATGAAGTCATTTCCCAAGGTACTTTTGTTTTGATTTTCGATTACATTTCCTCACGTTTCCTTCTTCCTTCGACTTTCCTAAGATACTTATTCATAATAGGGCGTCGAAGTTATCCAAATCGACTCCTCTCGGGAAATGTCGAAAGACCTTCTTCATGCTACTGGGGCATCTCAACAGGTTTGTATTTTCCCAGTTTTCATTTTTGTGAACTTCAACCTTTTCTCTGATCGTATCGTTTGTTTGCAGTTGATCACCCCCCAATCGAACGTTGCTGATTCGATAGAAATTCCTTCTAAGGTTGAGGAGGATAAAATTCCCCAGTTAGAAACCTTGGCGAATATGGAGACCTTGTAAGACTCTGCCCAAGGTGAACCTTCTTTCGAGCTACAACCTCCCTTGAGTCCAAACAAGTGTATATTTCTTTCGACTTTACACTCTTATCATGACTCTTAATGAGACCATCTTATATATTTCTTTTCTTTTGTACAGGTTTGACTGAGTCACCACGACCTTTCACTGCTTCCCCCTCAACTCAAGGAGGTGCCGCCTCTTCTGTCCAAGCCCTTTCCTCAATTCCTTCCATAGATTTGGATTTGATGAGCTTCTTTAATGAAGAGGATAAGGATATCGAAAGCATCTTCCAGGTTCTGGACAACTGGACGAGTGGGCCATCTGGGTCGGAGAAAGAAAAATAAAAAGTTGTCGAGCAAGATTCTGAGACACCATCTTATCAACCTTTGCTCGACTCCTTCCGATCGAAAGCATATGTTGAAGATCTCGATCAAGCCTTTCTCATTCCTGAGTTTAAGATAGAAGTGGGGCAGATGGTGGAAGATCTGTTGTCTTATTTGGATCTTCCTTCTGAGGTCCATTTCGAGCTACAGGAATTTATCAAACCGTTTAGCCTCGCATGGGACCTTCGAGCTCAATGGTCCACTACATTCCAAGAAGTAGCCCAGGTCGAGATCGAAAGTGAAGGGGATCGTGCCAAGCTTGAGAACCTCCGTTATGAATTGATTTCTATCAAGAAATCAACAGAAGAAATGATTTCTGCTTTGCAAAAATTGCAAAAAGATGAGGGAGATATAGAAAGAACTATTGAGGCTTTGCAACATGAACTAGATAAAACTCGCTTGAAGAAGGATGCTATAAAAGTTCAAAGCCAAGAAATCAAGCAACGTCAAACAAGACTTAAGGAGGAAGGCAAGCTCATATCTTCCAAGCTTGCGAAGACCTTGGAACAAAAGAAACATCTAGAGGCTCAGTGTTCTTCTCGAAGGCAGAATTTGGACAAGGCCTATCAAGCTTATAAAGATTTTAAGTCCAAGTTCTGTAATCATTAACTTTCTCTTTCTCGATCTTTGATTCCTTTTGATTTATTTTTGGTCTGTATTGAACAATTAATATTCTGCCCTTTTATGAAAGTACTTTAAGTATTTTCCGTTCATTACTTTGCTTATATTCGAATTTATCTCTTTAATAACGTATGCATTTTTTGAATATACTTGCTCGACCACAAAGGGGCCTTCCCAATTATAAGACCACTTCCCTAAGTATCGAGATTTCTGGTCTATGGGAAGGATCACTTTTAACACCAAGTCCCCAACTCGGAACCGTTGTATTTTGACCCTCTTATTGTATGATTTCTCGACTTTTTCTTTTTGTTGAACAAGGTTTTGCAATGCAATCAATCTTTCTTCGTCTAAAGAAATCAATTCATCATACATTAAATTCCAATAATCCTCAATAGGTAATTCATTTTGTTTCTGTATATGAATTGCTTGCAAATTAATATCTATAGGAAGAATAGCCTCGTGTCCATACACCAGTTTATATGGGGTAGTTTTTGTAGCATCTCTTGGAGAATTTCTATAAGCCCATAATACTTGAACAAGAGTTTCATGCCAATTTCGAGGCTTGCCCGAGATATGTTTCTTTATTAAACCAATCACCACTTTATTAGCAGCCTCTACTTGACCATTTGCTTGCGCATAATATGGCGTTGAGGTCATCAATTTAATTCCTCGAGATTCAGCATATTGAGCAACTTTTCGACCCGTAAATACGGTGCCTTGATCAGTAGTAATTGTTTGGAGAATTCCAAACCTCGTTATAATGTGATCTTCGACAAAATCAATTATGTCTTTTTGCTCAACTTCTTTCAGGGGAATTGCTTCAACCCATTTTGTGAAATAATTTATGGCAACCAATATATATTTATGATTTTTCGATTAAGGCGGACGTATTTGCCCTATTATATCGATTACCCAGCCTCGGAATGGCCAAGGCTTAATAATTGAATGTAATTCACTTGCAGGTACCTTTTGTATTGGTCCATGTCTTTGACATTCTTCACAACTTTTTGCGAATTCGATGCAATCTTTAATCATAGTTGGCCAATAAAAACCTTTCCTCGACAAAACCCATTTCATCTTTTCACCTGCTTGATGTGCTCCACAGATGCCTTCGTGTATTTCTGCCATAGCTATATAACTTTCATGACTTCCAAGGCAATAAAACTCCATCGAAACCTCTTTTATATAATTCATTATTCAGCAAGACATAATTGAGGGATTGGAGTTTGATTTTTCTTTCGACCTTCAAATTGGGATTTTGCAAGTATTCGACCAATTTGCTTCTCCAATCTTGTTGACTCGAAGAACCAACACTTAGAACCTCTAGATGGCCTATCAATTCGTTTTCGGTATGAATCAGATACTCGAGACATTCCTTACTTATTTTATACCCTGATGCCATCTGAGCCAATTCATTCGCGATGATATTCAAGTCTCGAGAAATATGTTGTAACTGAAATTCATCAAACGCGTTAAGTAACTACACAGCTCGAGTTTTAAATTCAATTAATTTTTTGCTTAAACACTTGTACTCTTGAGTTAGTTGTTTGATGACCAGTTGTGAATCACCTCGAATTGATATGTTCCTAGCACCTAACTCTTTAAGAATTTCGAGTCCCGTTATTAGTGTCTGATACTCGGTTTCATTGTTCGAGTATCCCTTGTATGTTTTAAATGATAATTTAGTTGGGAACCCTTCGAGAGAAATGATTAAAAGACCTATCCCAGTGCCTAATTCGTGTTTCGAGCCATCGAAAAATAATTGCCAAGACTTAGTGGTTAAGTAAATAACTTCTTCAGTTTCTTTCGAGTGATTTGCAAGAAAGTCTGCAATTATTTGACCATTAGTTGCTTTTAACAGCTCGAAAGTTAACGAATATTCAGTTAACGCAAGTGCCCATTTGCCAATTTGAGAATGTAAAACAGGTTTACACAACATATACTTGATCACATTACTTCGACAAAATATTACAACATCACAAGGCCTAATGTAATATTTCAACTTTGTACAAGCAACATAAAGACTCAAACATAATTTCTCTAAAGGAGTATATCTAATTTCTGTCCCTACTAACATTCGACTTAAATAATAAATGACTCTTTCGATGCCATTATCATCATCTTGCGCCAGCATGCCCGCAATAGTCGAATCGCTAGCTGAAATGTACAACTTCAGTTGCTTCCCTTTAGAGAGTGGTGCAAGCACTGGAGGATGAGCCAAATAAACTTTGATTTCATTGAACGCTTTCTGGTGCTCTTCATTCCATCGAAATTCTTGCTCCTTTTTTAAACGTAGTAGAGGAGAAAATACTTTAGTTTTACCAGACAAGTTTGATATAAATCTTCTCAGAAAGTTTACTTTACCTAGGAGAGACTGGAGTTCTTTCTTGTTCGTCAGAGGTTTAGTTTCCATGACAGCTTTTGTCTTGTTTCGATTTACTTCAATCCCTTTCTGGTGTATGACAAACCCCAGAAATTCTCCCGCTGTAACACCAAAAGCACATTTTAGTGGATTCATTTTTAAACCATGTTTTCTCATTCTCTTGAAAGATAATTTTAAATGGCTTAAGTGATCCTCCTTTTGTTTCGATCTAACAATTATATAATCAATATATACTTGTACAAACTTACCAATTAAATCATGGAATATTAAATTCATTGCCCTCTGATAAGTGGCACCTGCGTTTTTTAATCGGAATGGCATCATCACCCATTCATAGACGCCTAAAGCACCTGGACATCGAAAAGAAGTTTTCGATACATCATTAGCTGCAATATAAATTTGGTTATATCCAGAATAACCATCTAGTAAACTCATAATTTCATTACCTGCAACAGCGTCTATCATAGTTTCAGCAATGGGCATAAGATATTCATCTTTGGGGGTTGCTGCATTAAGATCTCAAAAATCGATGCATACTCTGAGTTTCCCATTCTTTTTTATAACAGGCACGACATTCGATATCCACTCAGCATATCTTGAAGTTTTGATGAATTTTGCTTTTAGTAATCTCTCGATTTCTTCCTTGATTTTCTCGATTACTTCACGAGCGAATCTTCGAGGGCTTTGCTTCACAGGTTTCTTTCCAGGGATCATGGGTAGCCTATGCTCTACCAATTCTCGATCTAATCCTGACATTTTATTGTAATCCCATGCAAAGCAATCTTTATAATCATTCAGTACTCGAATTAGTTCCTCCTTCAATTCCCCTTGCAAGAGCTTGCTAATGTAAGTTACTTTTCTATTTTCGACTGTTCCCAAATTGATTTCCTCGAGTGGATCCTGAGATTCCAACTTATGATCATCTCTGGTTGCTCTTTCGAATCCCAACGGTGAATCATCGAAAATACAATCTAGTTTAAATTCTAACTCTTGCTCTTTACCTTCTTCCAAGTTTTCAACCTCCTGGTCCATTTTAATTTCCATTTTTTCTTTTTCTGTTTGTTTCGAGACGACCTGGTCCCCTCGTTTTTTTTCTATTTTTTCTTTTCCTTCCTTCTTTTCAACCTCGAAGTCTACATCTTCTTTCTTTTGTTTTTGTTTTTCTTCCTTCTTTTTGACCTCGAAATCTGTTCCCTCTTTCTTTTTTTTTTCTTCAGCCAAAGCGGCCGTGCTATGTACCTCCCCGTCTTGTCTTTCCTCGGCCATGTTGGCCGTTCGATCAGCCATGTAGGCCGATATTCGAGCTAAGAAGCTCGAATAAGGATCTCTATCCTTCATTCCTCAATTGGAGTTGAATCGTTTTCGGATTGAATTATAAAACCTTGCTTCACATCCCAACAGAAAGTTTTCTTAATTCCTTCTTCCTCATCCATCACTCCAGAATTGTAGGCATCGAAAGGCTTGGTCTTTGCAAATGCTGTCAATTGTTGATCAGCAAAATACATGCCAACCTCATACGTTTTCTAGTCAGCCTTGAGAACCTCCAACCCTTCATCATCGTTCCAGAAGAAGATCTTTTGATGCACCGTGGAAGGAACACCTCCTACCCCATGGATCCACTCTCGACCTAGCAGGACGTTAAAATTCGCCTTGGATGGCGTTACGATAAACATGGTCATCCTCTTCACACTTCCAATCTGCACATCGAGCAGAATCATACCTTTAGGGTGTGAAGACTTTTCCGCATAGTCTGAGATCAATATATTATGAGGCTTCAAATCGGTCATCAATTTCCCAAACCTCTTTCGCATTGTCTTGGGCAAGATATTCACAGCCGCACCTCCATCAACCAATACCTTGTTCACCTCGTGACCTTCAATCATCAAGGTCAATAGTAAAGGTTTTAGGTGACCCTTCATCTCTTCGGTAGGGGAATCGAAGACAGCCAAATTAAACTTGGGGATAACCCTCGAGATTTGATTAACCCACACGATCTTAGACTCGTAATTCGGGTCATCGAAGAAGTCTTCTCGATGAATATCCTCTTGTTCATTGACGGATTCCATTGCTCCCGCATACTCAGAAGGAAGAATGGAAACTATCCCACAGATGTCCTCTAAAGAATCATCAAAACCACTCTCGAAACAATCAGTGATCAAGTCTTCATCGTCTTCGATGAACTTCCGAGAGGATTCCCCTTTTGGAGGTATAGGAATCGAAAACCGGTTCCCTCGGAAACCTTCAAACGTAGCCTTTCGCATCCGTTGCTGCCTCCTCCACTGAGTTTTTGTTAAGTTATTGAAGGGCTGTCAAAAACCGCGCCCATAACTTCTATTTGAAAATCTTCCAGGACCTGCAGACATATTCGAGGGTTTCCTTGCACTAGGTTCCCAACAAAGTTCATCACCTGCTTTCCTCGACCCATTGGTCTTGGAGGAGCATTCCACTTCCCTACTGGGACGTTTGCATTCGGCACAAAGGTATTGCCGAACTTCGATGAATTGTACATCTCCATCTTACCCATAGGGGCGTTATATTGAGGCATGTGAACCTGCCTCATGGTCAACCCAGCATTTGACCCAGCAGTAGATTTAGCCTTCTCACGAAGCTTCTCAGCTTTGTAGTTCTTCATCATTTCTGACTCCTCGAAAGCCTTAGCCGCAGCTCTATCGAAAATAGCACTGCATCGAGGACACAGCATAACCTCCCTGTCAACTTCTTTTTTCTTCGACAGGAATTCAACCAAACTATCTCCCTCTTTTGGGTAGATAGGTTCCTCTTCCTTGGCGAAGTCGTCCATCAGTTCTTCGAGTTTCTCATCGGAAATAGGTTCGATATTTTCCTCATCTTCAACACTGACTTCAACCATATTCACTCCCATCGAAACTGGCTCCACATGTCCAATATGGGCAACAAATGGATCAGTGTCCACCTTCATTTCCTTTTCCTCGAAAGCAAGGCGACCATCAGTAATCGCTCTCTCGACCAAATCCCTGAAACGTACACAATTATTAGTCCAATTCCCATACATATTATGATATTTACAAAATTTCTTCCCTTTTCTTTCCTCGAATGGAGGAATTTTATGGTTTTCTAGGAATACAATTTGTTTATCTTTTAATAAGATATCAAATATCTTATTAGCCTTAGTAACGTCGAAACTGTATCTCTTGGTCGAATTTCCTTCTATACTATCTCCTGGTTTTAACATTTGACACTGGTACGTAGGACCAGGACACAATTCTGCTAAGTTGACCACAAAATCCTCACTCGAAATCTCATAATTAGGATCGTCACTTAATTCAGAATTTTCTAGATAGGCCACTTTTTCCTTTCGAACAAATTTATCAAATTTTCTTAATCTTTCTTTTTCTAGCTTGATTTGTTCGATCCTTCTTACCTTTTCGGCTAACTGGGCCATATCTCTCAACTGTTCATTTACTAATTTTTTACGTATCGAGAAATCTAACCCTGTTGCTGCAATCCTAACTAATTCATGTTCAGGTATATTAGTATAACATCGAGATTTTAATTGCCTGAACCTATTTAAATAGTCATCTAAAGTTTCATGGCTTTGTCTCTTAATGTTCATTAGATCAACTATACTAACTTTCGTTTCTTCTCTGAAGAAATGTTCGTGAAAACTACCTTCTAATTGAACCCAAGTGTGTATCGAATTTGGGGGCAAGGTTGTGAACCACGTAAAAGCGTGCTTAGTTAACGAACTGGGAAAATACTTCATCTTTAAATATTCATTGTTCGCTAAATCTCCACATTCGACTACACACCTAGCTATATGTTCGACTGTAGATTCGGTTAATTCCCCCGCGAATTTCAAAAACTTTGGGACTTTTGTTCCCCTAGGCAATTCTACTTGAGTTACGTAATCTGGGAAGGCTGACACAAAATAAGGACGTTCATTTCGACCTACATCGAATCCATGTCTGTTTAATATCCTTTATACTATTTGATCTATATTGTCATTAGGATTCCTATTAGGTCGACCTACGTTTTGTCGAAAAATCCCATTCCCATCTGGATTATCCATTTCGTTCAGATTTGCACTCATGGCTCTCGAGGGTGGTCCCTCACCTAATTTATCTCCTATTTTATTTATCAATTCATACAGAGGAGTCATAATATTATGCATTTGGGTTGACAACAAATTGACCATGTCATGATTACTATGGTCCATCTGTTGTCGAAGAGTCATCATTGCTTGATTACTAATACCAGTTGGTACGTAACTACCCTGTCGAATCAAAGACCCTTCCTGGCTTGTCCCTACATGTTGATATGGGTCTTGCATGACAAAACCCAAGCCATTCGGTCCAGGATTATACCCCTGTGGGGATATGTGCATTTTTGGATTTGGTCCTAAATAAGGTACTGGCATTTCGACATGTACAGGTTGGGTATTTCGCCAATTCTGTGGCATACCCCAGGGATATTCCCTAGTGACGTTTGCTAGTTCTTAAGTAACATTTGTTTGCCTAGCTGTATTTTCGAGTAACACAGGGGAAGATGGTGCCCCCCTGGTCACATTAGTCACATTATCGGGGTTAGGGTTTGCTTGTTCTACATCTACGTGATTATTACTGTTCGTATTTGTTTCTATCTGATTATTAGATGTAGACATGGTTCTTCCACTCCTAGGTCTCATGCAACATGCATACCTAAAACTAGCCCAATTATGTCTGTAACTTAAAAGGGTCCCACCGGGCGTGCCAATTTGTTTACGGTGGAATTTGTTTTATGGATTCTTTTTACTTGAACTAGCACGATAAACGTTTCAATTTAGATATGTGAGGTTTTTAAAACGAGAAGAGGAGTAGGAAGATTGATGATTACTTGTTTCTAAAGATTCTTTAATAATTAACAAACAATAATTTTCATACACATAAATGCTAAGATGAACAGAATGAGTAATTGAGATATTTGCAATACAAATCATGGTTCAACTTGCATAATGTTCTAGAATTACAATGCCAAAGTGATATAACTACGTGATTAAAAGAAATAAACTGAAAGAACTACACTAATTCTACCCCTAAAAAGCAAAAGGAAAGTGGCCGAGAATTAATCATACCAAAAAACGATTCCTCGCACGAAAGCCATATGCGCAGGCAGAGAGTGCTTCTGATTCTTGTTTTAGTATGAGTTTTCTAACCCTGGCAATCAATACATTTCTCATATTTATAAGGCTAATCAGAGACGGTTAATATTAAGCGTGTGCATTATTGGGGTATAACCGCTACCCACTAAGCATATTACGTGGATCCAAAATATAACTTCTCATAACCACTCGTTTCACGTCTTTTTCCAATTCGACCATTAGTAGTTACCCTGCTGCATTTTAACAGTCATAAACCTCCAATAACTTGTTGCTTTTTCGAGTAGTTTTCGTTCGACTTACTCGACTTTTCAACCTCTAGCATGAATAAATGAGACTCCTAATACGTTCCAGGTAGGTGTTGATCTTCTTCTCTCTTTCGATTTGCTTCATAGGGACATCTTTCGATTTTATATATATATATATATATATATATATTAAAATACTGGTTTACTTATTTGTGGTTAGTTTGATTTAGATTTGTTGTTGGTGATGTTGGTTGCACTGAATTGATTTTTTATTATTTACTCTACGTAAAGGATATTTGGTGCGGATTGGAATATGCACCTTTACATCCGTTAAAATGCCTCTTAAAAATATATTTTGAAGTTGCTGTAATGTTTGGCTCTTTCTTAGTTTAAATTGTCTCATAATGACTTAATAGTTCAAGTTAATAATAAGTAACAAAGTTTATTAGTTATATAGTTATTAGTTTATTTGTACTGGTTTATTGGTCTAAATTCGCACTTTAAGCATTAGCATAGAAGAATCATTGCATAACATGCATATGGCACAAGTGTGCACAAAAGGGTATAAGTTCACTAAAAAGATTTGAAAAAAAAAACCAATCCATTGCTGCTTTGCATTCTTGCATTCTTTGTGTATGTCTATCCATCACTTGTTGGAGAAACCAAGAGGCCGAAGCACTCGTAAAAAAGATCAACAGCTAGACAGTGCCTTAAAAGCCAAGATCATGTCAAAAAGCCTAGCCCCAACAAGGGCATTCCATACAAGTGGTTTCATATAGCCACCAATAAAAGAAAGACACGTCAACAGTAAGACGGGATAGAACCGGACGAGGAAGAATAATCAAGTCCACAAGCATGAAGAAACCACCAAGCCTTATTCTGTCTTCGACCGAGCTATACTCCTCAACCGAATGATGAAAGATCCA